CAATCGCAACTTTTTGGACTTTTCCGTAAGTCTTCGGATAATATATATATATATATATATATATATATATATATATATATATATATATATATATATATATATATATATATATATATATATATATATATATATATATATATATAGATAGATAATAGCCGAGGATGCTCCGATTGGCTTCCTCGTATGAAAGATTCCTGACTGGTACAGAACCCAAAGCGTAGAGGGGTAAGCTATTATTAGAGTAAGTTGAATTCATGGCTGACTGATATAATATAAGCTCCTAAACTTATACAATGTAATAACAATGCCCTAGTTGATAGTAAAAATAGTGAGATTTAATACCAACAGCAACTCAAATAAATTCTTAGACAAAAGTCTCTTTTACAATCTTGCATGCAAAACCTTTTACAAAAAACGATCCATTTTTTATACTTTCTAGCTTTTAACCAAATTTTGATAAGATAAAATATTTTAACAAAACCAATAACGCAAATTAAATTTACAAAACCTAGCCATTGTTAAGGAGACCCCTATTGTTCCACATCAAACTGCATGTCAGTCTTGTACGTCTGCAATCAGCCTAAGTGAGTGGCGAGGTTAGTCTATTAGTTGCTCCCTACCAGATATTGTTTTGTATTTTACAGCTTCCTATTCTCACACTGACATCGTCCCGTCAACCTTTGCGACTCCAAGTCCATAACACGATGATGGTAACAATAAATGGACGTCAACTTGTGCCAAGAATTTCTGTCAGATTTATTTGCATTAAAAGCTTTCAATGGGAGGAAAATGTTTCCGTGCGGCTCATCGACAAATTCTTGACAGCTTGCAATATTTGCTTATATTGAAATCAGTACTTGACTTGACTTTGTTATGTTTTCATATCACAGGAATCCCTAACAAGTACATGTAGTTTTGCCGATCGTAATATTGTAATATTATAATAACACCATGCAATCCTATATGAGAAAATATTATATTATACTTCATCGTCTCCTTGTATACAATGGTATAGGGTGGGACAACCATATAAGTTTATTACGAAGTGCCACGTTATTCGAACTTCGTTTTAATTGGTTAATTTGTGAAAGAACCAAGCAGCCAGATCTTTTGATGAGTTGAGGCACTTCTCGAGTCTTAACGTCTTCTCGTTCACCTTACTTCTTTATTTCCAACGTACTGTAAAGACCGACGTTCACGAAACGTAGCTACCGGAAATATCCAGCCACATGGGATAACTGGAAAGACACCAAGTGTAACACAGAACAGGAACTATTCAAAAAGGGGAAGATGCATACTTAAGATGATGGAAACCGCTTTAGATAAGAAGATAAACAGCAGATTATACATATATAGATGCATTCCGAAATTAAAATTAGAATCTGTTAAGCTTTTCTTTGACACCTCTAATAAAGATGCTGATCTGGTCAATATTTAACATATTTCCTTCGTTGAATGTTAACAATCAAAAAAGCTTACACTCCATTTACTTTGGTGTTATTTTTGGAGTATGACAGAATAAATATACCCAAAACATAAGCTTTTTAAAAAAATCTTTTTAAATAGAAATAGAATAATATGTAGGGGTTTTCAACATCTAAGATGAGTTCAAGCCTTTTTGTCAGCAATTGTGCATGAGAATTATCTATTTAGCAGCAATTTGTTAAGTGAATCTTGGTATTTCCATAATATATGATATAACAAATTCACCTGGAAAAAAGAACATCCAAGTATTCTAGAGCTTTTCAAGTTAAATTTATATTCAAAATTATATTTCTGAAATGTTGTTAAGTGACACAATCCGATAGAAAGGTAGACGATGCGGTTGCTTATCTTAGAAAGAGCTATCACAAACAAAGTGTCTTCTTTTTCTTAATGCCTTTCAAAATTTGGTCCATTTACGCATGAAGATAACATTAAAGGCCCATCAAGTCTTTAATATACTAGTTCCATATATTTTGTTTTGTTTTATTTTTAAAAAAAAACACTTTTATTTTTTGTGTTCTCTTACAATCCCAAAAAGTTACTTATTTGGTTGATTAGCTGAACCGTTTTTTTTTAATTCTTTTACATTTTGGTTATCAGTTAAGTTATAGTGATTTAATATTTTGTATGGAAGTAAAATACCACTGTCTTTACTTTTTGGACCTATTATTACAAACTATTTCACATTCATCGCTATTTCCTTCATATGAATAGCATCTGACATGTTAAAAATCAATTATTGCATTATTATAAATGATGGCCCTTTCTAATGAAAGACAAGCATACCCATTCATTTCTCAGGCTTAATGTGCCTTTAATCAGTGATATAAATTAACACAATTCTTGTTAATAAGCTGATATTTCAGACCTCATACATTACAACCTGGAAAAAGAAGACAGCTTTTATTTAGAAAACGATTATATCTTAATAAATATCTGCAATTTATTTCACACCTGTTTTTGTCTCTCTGGCAAAAAACAAAACAAAACAAAAACAAATGAATAAAACAAAACAGCAACATATGAGTAGATCGGCTGCATTCACACTGTTTTCTGCCTTACCAACTACAAATCATTACAAATTGGTACTAAACACTGGGAGATTTTGCCGACAGTTTAAACTTCCATGGCATGTAAGGGCGCAATGATTACAGAAAATGGCGTCCTTGACATTTATAATCACCAACAAGTTACTTTTGGTCTTGTGTTTGAATATGACAGGGTTCATATTAAAAGTCACAAAAAATATATAAACAATCTGATGTTGAAAATACAATTAAAGGCAACCATTCACTTAAATCCAACATATTCACCATATTTATCACACTTTGTGGGGCTTTAGTTACTGTGATGTGCTACCTAAATGGAATTTACACGGAATGATTTATAAGTCATTCACCACTTCCTTCGGTATTGCATCTCTTTAATACTGTCAATATTTATTACTTCACGAAAAGTCACAGATATCAGCGAAAGAATAACATTTGCTCACAGATTTGGCAGTGCGTTTCTAAGCGGTTGGTTACAGCTAATTAAGTAGTGGTCGGACGGTAACATTAGAGCGGATGTGAAGAACGGCGTTGATTTATAATGGTTATAATTTGTCTAGTTTCCTAGAAAGCCGGCAAGATAATAAATTTTTAAAAATCTCAATCTGCCTTCTTTGATGTTGATTAAATGATGTTCACAAATTAAAAGCAGTGAATGTAAAATGTTCTGTTAACCAATTCCTCAAGTGTTACACCGACAATGGCTTTGTTTAACGTATCTCCCTTTCTATTATATTTTCTTTTGAGGAGATTAAGCAAAGATGAATCATTTACAAAGAATTTTCGAATAATTAAAAACACAAAATAGCGAAAAAGAAAAACACAATGATTTAAATGTTTACCACTAGCCAAAATCGAAATTTTTGGGTTCATTACTGACAAAACGTTCAGTCAATCTTTACTAAATAATTCTGTAATTTAGTATTATGAAATAGATTTTTCACCACGTGTTAATGCGGCCGATCTATTGTGAATTTGTGAAAAGAATTGGAAGTGTATCTAATTCGCACTTACTTGTGAAATTGAGAGGCACAAAACAACAATTTACTGTTGCATACAGTCTTTAATTGGACACATACTTTAAAGAAGTCATTTACTATTTGTCGGCATGGTTAATATACTGCATGGGGTCTATTTTGTCAAGTACTTGTTAATGAAATCATTTCTTATATACCCGTGCGTTTGAAACAGTTGATAGCAAATATAACAGCCCAATTTGTTGCCTGCTGAGGTATCATTTAGTGATCTATTTATATGTTAATTATCATCATATTCTAAAATGATTAAAACAAAAGCATATATCATTCTCAAATGATGAGCATGCGCGGATGAATATGGTGCCATTTAAATTAATGTAAGACAATAATTAACAATAGATCAAGTGACATTGTATTAACGTTTCCTACAGTTAATGTTCTAATACATCAGAATAAAATAACAGCATGTAAAGTTTTATTACCATGTATCAGCTATTCTTATGATATCAGAATAAATGATTGTGTCCACCTATAACTAACAATATTGCATGAAAATAGTTCCATACACGACTTATTATGTCTAAATTTAGAGTACATATCTTGATTATCTAAGGGCAATACTGCTGATTTACACATCAAATGTAATTGTTCACAACAACAAAAAATGGAGAATTTCATAATTTAGAATAAGTGTATGAGTATTCAGGGTGGCACTTTATATTGCTAAACACTTTCCATGCTAAGCATCTTAAATGAATTTGACCATCTTCAAACTAGATAAAGCCATTTATTAGTTTTCAGGAAAATATCAAAATATGTAAACGGACTGAATAGCGACCAGTCAGCACTTGGTAGAAGCAGTTGCCGTTAGCAGTTTAAGAATCATAGTTATTAATTTTCTTAGATGTAACAAATTTTCATCACCTGATATCCCCAAAACTGATACTGTACATGCAGTTCTTAAATTTGAAGCTTAACAAGTCCATTAAAGGAATTCTGCATGTTAAGGGATTAAAGTTTATCCTGCAATCGTGAAGAATTGTATTTTAGACGTTTATCTTCTTTTTTGTTGTTGTTGATATAAATCATATCCTTGTTGTTGTTTTTTCCGATGATATGGATTTATGTCAGCATTTATCGCGAATTACAAGTAAGTAATATGTATTAGATCATTTTATATAAAATGAATTATATGCATGTATTTACCATTTTCTACTTGTTTATAGTTATTTTCTTTTCACAACTTGAAACTTAATATATAAGAAATAAAAGTCCTACCATGTTTAAGTTTAAGACCACTTACATAAATCAGAGAAAGTATAAATTATTTCAGAATAAAAATATCAAATGTTACTGCGTGAAGAGATGTCTTCATTATCAGCGATGTGCAGCGATTGGTCGATAACTCGCTCCGCCTCGCCGTAATCCCCCAGCGTCCAATGAAATAATTTGACACATCCCATCATTTTATCAGATCATTTAGCAGGCACACATTAAATGACGATTTATACAGCTAATTTATCATTGATTCCCGCAAAACCAGCTTCATACTTCGATTGCCAAACAATTCGGATATTTTGCGACATTGCAGCAGACGAACTTTCAAATTCTTGACAAAGTGTCTTCTTCCGCGGCGGAAGGATTGGAAATTATAACAAAATAAAGCGAAGCTTGATATAACGCTTTTGTGTAATGGGCGTCGAAAATATGCGATAAGTTTCATTCTTTTCGCGTGAAACAGTTAATTCAAGACATTAATAATATTGTGATGACATATTTTGATAATGGCTGGAATTCTCAAGATAATGTAGAAGACATAGTGCTATAGACCCGATAAATATTCGTAATTATCTTGTGATATTCTATTCAGTGAATTAAGTTAGGTCAAATTGTGAGACTTGAACGGATCTATGTAGTACACGTTTCTGCCGTCTTCATATTCCTTGTTTTTGTTGTATACTCAGTGCTTTCAATGAACATTATGTTAGACTACTGCTCAAGCTCAAACTCTTCACCGCGGTACCAGTCTCCGAGTCCAACAATGACGTCATTACCTTACAACATGGCAGAAATGATGTCATCAGCAAATATGGCTGCAAATATGGCCGCCGCCGAAAGTCAAAGACAATCAGCATTTGTGCTTAGCAGTCCGCAGCTAGCGGCTTTACATAACATGACTGAAATGAAGACACCCAGATCGTGTTCGAGTCCTCCAAATTTACAGAGCCCTTATTCGAACTATTCACAATCATCGTTAAAACAGTTAAGTTTAGCTATGTCACAAAGCGGCACTTCACATCGTATTTCAGACATTTTGAATAGACCGCTCGTGCAAAATCCACTCGGACTTCCGCAGTTGAATGCTAGCATGTATCTAAATTCTCAAGCAGGACTCAAACTCGCAGAACTCCCTGGACGGGCACCTATCTACTGGCCAGGTATGATCGGAGGACCGAACTGGAGACCGTCTTGTAAGTATAATTTGAAATGAATAATAATAAACAAATATAATGTATTGTTTGATAAGAAGAAAGCAACTAAACTGCTATTTTCCTTTATTTTAGACAAGCATCTTAAATTTGTTTTTCTTTCAATTCTTAGCTTTATTTTAAAAAATCTTCATTAAAAAAAATCCTCGGCAGAATTTGCGGCAGGATTTTTTTTATCATTCATTGTATATATTATTTATTATTTAAGGGAATGAATACTATACTTTTCAAAAATGATTTCAATATTTTTTTAATGCATGGACAAAGCAGATAATTTATTGTGCTGAACATTATGAGTGGCTTTTTACAAACACGATGTTTTTCTGTGTAAAACTATGCTTAACAAATATATATATATCAAATTAATTTGAAAATAACTGTAATAATAAATTATAAATGCAACTTACAAACAATTTAAAATAAAATGTCCATTGACGAACTTCGCATGATAATTTGTATGCCCGGTTTTTTTGTTTTAGAAAATGTATATTTTTTACCATAAAACGCCTGCATTCGTCAATGTTTAGAAAAAAAACAACTCGAGATTGAATTTAAAGGCCCAATATGCCTCAGAAGTGCTTTTATTTTTATTTTCCGAAAGCTTTATATTTTACATTTTGCTACTTCTATAACAAATATTTTAATATTTTGCGCTACTTTCTTCGGTGATAAAAAAGCATCATACATGCTCTAAACCCACCATTTAATAGCTATAAAACTCATTTTTTTGCACTTTTATAGAAGGGAAATTTTTATTTGGTTCTGAGGCATAATTGCCTTTTAGGATAAAATTGAATTAAAAATAACATAATAGTATATATGTCCTGGATATTTAAAAAATAAATGCGTTATTTACAAAAGCAACGAACTGAAAAATAAAGTTTTCATGGAAAATAATAATAAAATCACTACTGATCAAAACAGATAAAATATCATCATGAACCAATGTGATTAAAGCACATCAATTCATGTAAAAGGGAGTAAAAGCAGCTTTATTCTTTTATTTTATTAAGCATTCGTACAGACAAATGGCGAGTGATTAAAAAATTACACAATTTCTTCAATCTAGAACCTGTCTTCAAAAGCTTTATTGCTTACATTAGATTAGTATTGCATATTACAAAAATAATGTCCTTAAAATATTGTTTACGCATGCAATTCCAAGATCAATATTTTCATACTTTTTACCTGATCTATTTTTTATCAAAACATTATTATTTGTAATAATAATGATAATGATAATAATAATAATAATAATAATAATAATAATAATAATAATAATAATAATAATAATAATAATAATAATAATAATAAAACAACAACAACAACATCACCACCAACAATAAGAACAACACCAACAGCATGCTAATAATTTGTAATTAACTGAATATAACCATGTCATTCACCTGTGACACACATGTTACATTTATAAGATAGGATAAGATAACAGTACTGTCGATTGATATATACAAATGTACATGTATTATCATTATCGTGATGCATTAATACCGTAGATGATTGATTAACAATTAATTCATTGATGGATTAATTGATGGATTAATTGATTTGTGAAGATATGAAATCTTTTATCAATGTAAAACTGGTTGATTTATGTCAGTTTACTAAAATAAACCACTGCCAAATACGATCTGGGCGAGATGTTATAGTTTGAAATAAAAATAAGATGAATGTAAAAGGCACGAAGATAAATTTAAACGATACATTTGATTAAATAATGACTTTTCGATGCCTCTGTTCGCATTAAGTGATTTTTCTTCTTCATCAGTTAAAATCGATTTTAAAAAGTATGTTTGCTATATAACTGATACGTAGACATGAATATTTTTGAAGTGTTGAAATTGTTATTTTCTGAAATTTAGAACTATATTACAAAGCTCGAAAATTCCTTGTCCCCTTTACGTAATTATAAACAATTTTTTCTACGTATTTTAATCTAATTATTTCAATTATTTATTTCTATATTACAAATTAAACTGTTTAAATCTTTTGTGTGTTTTATTTGATGAAAAGTACATAAAAATCCGGTGATACGAGTATTTTCTGGATATTGTACAAAAAATATCGTAGCATTCTTGTTTTCCATTTGATTTTTCACAAATAATAATCAATATATATTTTATACCGATATCATTTATCTTATTTTCTGTTAGTAATGATATATTATGGCGCACTCTCATTGCTTTTTCTATGAAACGAGAATTTTACGACACAATAATTTTAAAAGCTGTGTGTCTCCGGACGTGTAAATGAATTTAAAAAAAAAATCAAATTAATCTAAATATATGAAGAGGTTAAGAGAAATATAAATATTCACACGTATTTCTGACGTTTTGCATGATTTATGAAAGTTTTCTAAATTTACGATGTTTCCATCAAATGTATTATTTACTCTGTTACTAACGGTGTATAGGCAGGCCAGTTAGGAATATTTTGACACGTAATATGTGAAGATAACAGAACAGAGCCTGAAAACACCTTTCATTAACTGACAACATTATTCAATAAAAAATGGAGAAATGGTTTGATTTATCTCATTTTTTTCTCATAAAAATTAGTTTGAATCTGGAGCCAACCTGCTATATGTAGCTTTAAGCAACTTGTTCATGGTTATTATTTAAGATATTAATCGTTGTACTTCGTGGGTGAATCATATCACAATAAGACTTAAAATTCACAATAAATTTTCACAGAATTATTATTAAGGTGGAATCTTAAATCGTTGGGCCTGAGGAATGATGCACTTTTTCATTATCCCTCATGTACAGACTCAATCAAACCGAGTCTAAAATTATTTTCATGTAATTTTGTTTAGATTTATGCTTCCGAGGGATCACTCTTTCTCCATATATTGAAATAAATTCAATTTAATTAGTTGAATAAAAGAGCAAAAAGTACAATAATTTAATATACACGTATTATAAAACTCTGTAAAGATTTGTTTTCAAATTGAATTTTAAAGTAAGTATTTATAGCATTGTGTAAATGGAGATAAATCTCGGTGATTTTGTGTACAATGATTATATTTCAAAATTTTATATGTAGTAAAATGAACGAACAGATGGAGTATGCAATTTTAATGAGATAAGATATATACAAAAATCGCCCATTTGCACCGAAGTTTTTATTTTGAGTAACGATAATAAACCGTGCTTCCTTAGGGACGATGTCAGGGCAGCATGGGGCTAATTTCTGGGACAATTCAAGGGCTATTAAGGGCTATCAATTGCTAATTATTTCGTAGTTATGGCAGTCATGTTCCACAAGATCTGTCACTAGATAAGAACCATGTTTCTACAGGTCTATTTATTACTAAATTACGTTGCATGCTGATTTCTGGACACTGTTTTATTGTTTTCCCCTGAGCTTGAGGAGTTTTCAATCACCAAGGTGTCGGAGATTAGCGTAATGTAACTGTATTGACTAACAGAGAAAGTTTGCTCATTAGCAAAACCGAAACAAATATCGGCAAAGAGAAAAATAATCAGTTAAATTTATACAAATATATTTTCGTGTTTATTGCCAATAAATCGATGTTTCCGTGTCCTAGAACTTATTGACATTCACCTAAATTTTCATTTTCATTTTATTTCAATCAAGTCACATCTATTATCTGCAGCCGTTCGATAAAGCGTCTGAAATTATTCCTCTTCCCGGAAACTGTTTTATGAAAGCAGAATGATGGCATATTAAGCACGTGATGGGGAAGGGTTGAAATTCTTCTTTTTTATAAATCAAATCAAATACCTTTTGATTGTGAAATATTTCCGTATTTTAACCGGTTCAACGCTATTATCATAAACTGAATTGGTCTATAAAGGGAGGTCTATTATACCATAAATTATTAATTAGAATATAAGTATTTAGTAACAGACATTACAACAAATCAGGGGATATTGTTGATAAGAGTGAGATACATGATCTGATCAGACATTTATTGCATAGCAGATGATAAATTGTTCTACGACACAATATTATTATTCATCATATCAATGTTCATAATAAATCACTTAAAACTTTTCAAGAATGATCTTATAAGTTGACCCAATTGATACATTTCTATAGCTTTTTTCAGTATTTGAATCTGCCCATTTTAGACCATCCCACTTCAAATGGACTTGTTCGTCCCACAATCTGTACAAAAGTTATTGGTCATTTTTAAGAAAAAAGTTTTCAAAATATGCGCTGTCTGAACTCTGTATTCGATAAAATCTGCATTTCAACTGTGGCAAATTGGAAGCAATTATATACTCATTTCAAAATAATTTTGATTTTTCTTTTTGTGGCAAACAATTTATGAACTGTTGTATGCATCTTTTGAGGAAAATATTTTTTTGCTATGAAAAATAAAAGACGAAATAAAATTTGTAAATATTTTTTTGGTGAATTATCAGCTTGATTTATACATTACATTGTCTTTTATTGAGTAAGCAACCGAACCGCTAAAAATCGAATATTTTGATATTTATTTTTAAAGAAAAGAAATACAATGAAAAAAAGTGTTCTTTTGCAATTTATGAAAAAGAAGGGTATAAGAATCCTTTGAGAACTCATGATTAAAATGATTTTGTTTATTCTTAACTTATTAATACCGCAACGATATAGAAATAATGATAGCAACAAATAAAGTCACACGATTCAGACAGATCTTGCAAAATCAATGAACACACAAGAAACTAAATTAATTCTAAAATGAATGATTTATATAAAAAACTAGCTATTTCTAACATCTCAGTTTTGGTTTTACAGTCTTTCATATACACAAAGGTCATGTATTCCGTTGTGAAAATGAATTGAAATAAAAATATATATAGATCGTACATGTACAAAATGAAAACATAATTATTTTATCGTGTATTTTTTTTATTTTTCTGATACTTTTTAATAAAATGTGGATAGAAAAATTATTAATTAAAAGACAGATTTGTAATTATCACATTTTTATTTTCGTAAAACACACATTTCTTATATGTTGTAAGAATATTTAAGTAAAAAAAATAAGAAATTTCAGTTTATTATATCTATATTAATGATATCTTTCTAGCAGGGAATGTGATCATTGACAAAGATGGGAAAAAGAAACACACAAGACCAACATTTTCCGGTCAACAGATCTTTGCTCTCGAGAAAACATTCGAGCAGACGAAATATTTGGCGGGACCGGAAAGAGCCAGACTTGCGTACGCACTGGGCATGTCTGAAAGCCAGGTCAAGGTCAGTACCAAAGTATTTTTAACATGTTTTATTTCAGGAAAAGGATATAATTATTTGTACCTGAAAAATCGGTAACATAAATAAATTTCGTATTTTAATCCGAATCGCTTTATTTCGGGTGTCACACAGTACAATAAATGAGGCTATATGCATATTTATATAGATTCTTTGATTTCCAAATCGAGGGCAATAATTCTTTTATGACAACATGGCGAGATATTGATTTGATTTCACAATTTATCTTTTTTTTTCTTGACTTATCTTTTGTTTTACAATACACTAGAAACTATAAAATTAAAAGTCACAAGGATTGTGGTAATGTAGAAATTTTCTAAATTTGAGTTCATGACAAAATAAGAAGTTAATTTTATTATCTTATTGATACATACTTAATTAATCCGGACATTTAAAGTATATTTCGAAAGCAGCAGATTTTGTTCTTCAAATAGACAACTATTCTTCATTTTCAAATTGTACTTATTTACACGATATTGTGAAAATCGATGAGATAAGGTAATGTGCAATGCATAACAGAACAGAACCGAAAACAAAACAAAACAAAAACAAGCAAAAACATCAGAATTAAAAAAAAAACAATAACAATAAAAGAAGTAAGAGGATAGAAAATTTAAACATCTTTTACTTTTATGCAGACTGCTAACGTCTTTCAACCCAGACAACGCTAAATATCTTAAAAGAACCTGTCCATCTTTTATTCTGTACGAAGTCATTCGCCATTTTAGGGAAAGTTTCAAAATAAATTCATGTACTAACTTAAGAGCGAACAGTGAAGATCATGAATGTGTCGGCTGAACTTGGTCTATACTGGTCGCATTGGTAGAATCTGCTTAAAGTTCTTTCCTGTGAAATAAAATGTTGTCTACATACTGCCATACTGCCATACATACTAAATGAAGTAGATGAAACAAAATGTAGAATATTGTTAAATAGTATTCAGAATACAGACATTTTCAATGAAATAAAATGGAAAAGTCAAGCATTACCAAAACACAACAAGCACATAATCATTATTAAGGAATGAAAATTTTTGGTGCATTTTATTACAAGTATTTTCTTAAAAAACGTCCCTGTTGGAATTTAAATTTATTATTGTTTCGACTTTTGACGTGTTTGTTTGCTAGTCGATTGGTCTATTTCCATTATTATATGAATATTAATATTATTTGATGCTTAATAAAAAAATGTATCAATATTTCGATCTTTTCTATAATTTTACTCTTTTTCGTGTACATTTCAATATAGAAACAATTATAAAAAAATACTTTAATAATCCACATGGGCCATGGTTTTTGTTTTAATTCTTTTTCTTTCGAACGAAAAACTATATACTTTCTGCAGTAAAAAACACACACATTTTATTTTATCTTATAAATACTGTACATTTTGTATGCATTCATATATTATACAGCACCAGTCATCGATATTATATTGAGATCTTCATGTAAGACGATTTTAAAATAGACCCTTATAATGATGAATGACTGACTTAAAAAATCAGCACGAGGATATTTTGTCATAATCACTTTCGATCTCTTATCATGATATAAGATAATAACGAATGATAAGATGTCGTTGTCGTCATCGTCTATCTTCAGCACAAATTATTTTGTCTTAAGATGGAAACTTAACATCGTTTTTATTGGAAGAATCATAATATCTAATCTTTATTGAAAACAAAGACCAAATGTTCTTTACGATAGAAGACGTAATTCAACATTTTATAAACACCTTAGAGTATCGACTTAGGGAATTTTGTCTGGGCGACACGGTTTCCATCCCATCGTCGGATTATTTTTTTTATTACTGCGCCTATGTAATGTTTCTCAAACTGTTTCAGAAAATGAATCTGGACCAAGCCATTCAGCATTTTTAGGGAAAGTTTCGAAAATAAGTACTGACTGAATAACGGACAGTGCAGACTAAAATCAGAGGGCACTGGTGTGCCGGCTGATCTTGGTGTGAACTGGTCGCATGAGACGAAAGTTTTGCCGCCACCAGGCGATGGGTTAAATGAAATGCTTGTAAGAGTTCAAATATATTTATTTGACAAGTGTCTGCCTATCACTGCTATGTGTACTGGTACATTATTTAAAAAAAACAACACTGTCAGCCACATTTAAGGGACTCCACTGACATTTTTTTGACATGACTGGACTGGAATATTTTTTTGAGATTTGTGTTCCATTTGATGTAGGTCTAGACCAAAAGCTTGTGTGCAAAATTTCAAATCATATGCTCACTCCCTTTTTCCAAAATAATTTTTCTAATTGTGAAAAACGACCCAAAATTGAAAAACATTGCAACGTTTTTTTCACTCAAATCGGACTAAGAATAACGTAAAATTGCAATTTTCAATTTATTTCTGGCTATACATGTATTTCTTAATTATCTTTTCTGTATTAAATGCCCCGACTGAAATATGTAAGAAATTCGAAATGTATGACCTCAGTGGAGTTCCTTTAATGCCAACGTCTTAAAGGTCAATTTCCAACATATATTTTAAGCTCAAAAACACAAGCAGTAGGACAAATACTGTTGTATTAAGCTTTAATGTTACGCAACATAAGGAAAGTAAACGAAGACCAAAAGTTATGCCTTACATCATATATGTAAGCAATTGAATTGGTTTAAACAGTATTTATTTCATATAATACAAACATATACAGTTATGATACAACAACATTATATAAACAGGATTGAAAAGGAAGTCAAAGACTTATGTAGATTTCTTTCCTGTAAATTGTAAAAATAAAGCAAATTGCAATGTAACAACACGTACTTGTAAGTATACTAGTTACTAACATGAAATAATTATATTATTACGCCTAGAAAGAGTGAGATAAGTAATGAAAATACAACAAACGACGAAAAAATGAGAATTACAACAAATGTGCGATTATATATAAAGAGGGTATGGAAGGGGGAAAAAAAGCTCGATCTTTAGTCTGAACAAATAGTTTGAACTTTTTGATGAGAACACTCAAGAATTATAGTAAAGAAGAAACATATACAGAAGGATAGTTATAGAACTCAGAGAACGAGAAGTGGCCATTGTCTTTGATTAGGATGATAGGTCAGTTTTGCACAGCAAATATCTGTGATAATTTTTATATAAGAAAAGGAAATTTTACTTATGTGTCAATATAAATTATTTGAATTATTTTTGTGGTTATCGGGAGTATTTAAATCCTGGATATAAGACCTAGTATCTTATTATTATTGTTAAATAAGAGACAAATTATAAATCATAATAATATAGTATAGGATGAATTAAAAGAATGTTGAATTATGAAAGCACGTGATAAACGCTCGTAAGTACACCATTTATATTGTTTATGAATTATGTAAGGAGTTAGGCAAGACAAAACCGCTGTGTGCTAGAGATATATTCATGTACAAGATCAAATATTTTGGCATTTGTTTCATCGCTGAGACCTCTATCGCCATACAGTATAGTTGACAATGTAGCTGTTGTTATTTGTTGAAGCTGTTCCTTGAATATGGCTCTCTGGCGGGAAAATTGATTACAATTAAAAAAAAAGTGACATGAATCTTCAATCTCACCGCACTGACAGAAGGGGTCATCAATTATGTTTTTAGAGAAGAGATCTTCCTTTAGAATGCTGCAATGGGTTCTAAGTCGTGTGTGTAAGATTTGGGACTTACGGTTACCGTGATAATAGTATATAGGTACTTTTGAAAGTGTAGAATTTAGTTTTTTCTTAAATATGCCGAAGCAATTGAATTGTTTCGAACTGCAATAAGATTGACAAATCTTGCAGGCATCTTTTGGAATACTTATAATAAGCTTTGACAAGATAATTTAAGCCTATTTTAAAACTAATTCTGAGCTGCCTTTTCGACTTATCGCTTCACTGTTGAAGTCTCAAAGCCGACCTTTGATCTATTACAAGCCAAATCCGCAGAAATCCCCCTTTACTTTCTTATTAGATCTATACGTGAAATATTGGACAGAATTAACAAGTTAAAGATACAGAATGTGTTGATATATTCACTTATCTACTTGCCTTAGATTAATGTTATTATATGTAGGCATTATTTAAGATTGATTTAAATCATCGTCGGTGTTCCCAGATGTTAAGAAAATGACTTTTGAAGTCGATATGTGGCTTTAAAATTCATTGTTATTAAATTGATTGCATACCGTTAAGAGAATTTTACAGTGGAATCTGATATAACTGGAATATAGATGAAAAAGCTGGCATCTTAGACAATTTATCATAATACGGTGTTACGATAGAAGATTGAAATATTACATAATTCAATAAGTGAAATACCGAAAACGTTTTATTACGCGGAAAGGGACTATGAATAAATCACGAAACGTTTTATGTAAATGAAAATTATGAGCTATGTTAATTTTGATTAAAATTTTTGTATAATTTATTTGAAGTGTCGAAAATAATGTAACAAGTATCTAAATCCATTTCTCACACGGCCTTCTGCTTTGATTTAAAACGGAATAAATTCATTTCTGTTTTGAAATTGTACAATACCCTTTAATTCCAAGATGGCCTTTTTTTTATTAAGATCGGAAACTGAATTTTGGAATAAGTTGACGCTTATGTGAAGTCACGTGACAAAAACAAAATCATTGTAATATATTTATTACATTTGTCAGCCCAAGTATGTTTTAGTTATTGTATACATGTACATAATTTATATTTATCTAACCATTAACATACATTTGTATATTTATATTGTTATAAAAATGATGTCTTATAATTTATTATATTTATATATCGACTTTGCTAATAAAAGTGGTTATTGTTTGTTGTTTTCTATTGCAGTTAAGTTTGATCTACTTTAAATTGCTTGTAGTGAGAAATTAGGGGTGTTTTTTTTAAATAAAAATTTAGAAAATGTTCGAAATAGTAAGACTTTTGTCAAGTGAACATTAAAATTGATTGATTTGAGCGAGTCCAAGGCAGACCACCTGGGCAGACATACATACAATGTATCCAAACATGTAAAAACTTAACTATTACTCCGAAAAAAAATACAGAGAAAAAAATATGGTGATAGAAAAAGAATATTTAGTTATTATATAATTATATGAATAATATAAACCATTTAAAACAGCATATGAATCTGAAAGAAAATTTATTTATTTATTTATTTATTTATTTATTTATTTATTTATTTATTTATTTATTTATTCATTCATTCATTCATTCATTCATTCATTCATTCATTCATTCATTCATTCATTCATTTATTTATTTATTTATTTATTTATTTATTTAATGTTCATCTGGGTACTACCAGCTATAAGACTCTTCACTGTTAACTTTAAATGAAAACAAAGAAATAGAAAAACAAAAAGTTAAAACCCCAGTATTACAAATACAGGATCATGTAACCTACAATCAATAATATACAAAATACAAAATAATTTTCAATCAGACCAACATTTTTTTTTTAATTTCATAATCAAATGATCACGATGGATTCACTACAAAACGAAAGACAAAACCGGAATTGTCAGTACAAAACATCAGTTTAATTATGTCATGACCTAGAAGAAAGTTGCCAACTATCTCGTGAATTTATTTATTGGCGCCATTTTAACAAATGAATAAATTCGTGATTTACGTGAAATAAAATATGAGCGTACATCAGTTGATATTTCATTATATTATATTATTTGTGATATTTTATCAATAATATTGACTTTAGGCTAAGTTTCCTAGTACTGCGACATATGCCTTTATTGTTCAAACAACGCCATTGTATCAAGAGAGAATCTGTTATTTTTATGTCTTCAAGTTTATGAGCGATATATTCTTAGGCCATAAACTGGTGCTTATTCTGTACTTGTTGGACCGTCTGTTGTTAATATTTTCCACAACGAGGGGGTTACTCCGGATTTGAAACATAAAATCTACATAAAACCTTATTATGTAGTCTATCGACGCTTTATGTTTTATAGATTTGAATAATTTGTCTTTAAGAGTAAGGCTATACAAAGGGATAATGTGAAGAGGTAGCCGAAGTCATTTCCATTTCTTTTAAATCGCCGATATTTCTTATAATCCCCGGCACTTAAACTGAAATTTCAGGTCTTAAGCCCGCTTAATTTTGTGTTCGTCAACCGGAAATGGAAACGAACATGGGCATTACTCATTAACAGCCATAGGAACGCCATTGTTCGTATTGTAATGATCCTGTCAGGTGCGAAAAAATGTAAACTTGTTATTTGAAAAAAATATATATCTTTCCTTTCACCTATATGCGGGACAGTGCATCCCGAGCTCTGTTATATAGTATTTGATATTGACAGCTTTAAATGTCCTTTACAGTGCAGCTCGTTTGTAACGTCGATTTTCATTGGCCGATCTTGACGATTATATTATCCATCTACAATGTACACGACTTCTGTAAATGTTTAAATTAATTTAAAGAAAGTAGTTGAACAGAAGTATCACAAAGTTTGTTATAAATACGAGTACATATGACATGTCTTAAAATCGTATGTGACGGTTCTTTGATTTATACCCCGTGCCCAACAGCTTGGCTTATGTTAAAATACAAGCGTTTATACTGGACCATTGACTTTATTTACTCTGTTCTCTTTCTACAAGTAGCAATTTAATTTTGTTACGACTGTGGGCAATTTACATAATCAATAACTATCCTTTTGTTTTCAACTTCCAGGTATGGTTCCAAAACAGACGAACAAAATGGCGCAAGAAGCACGCCGCAGAAATGGCTACAGCCAAAAAGAAACAAGAATTTGCAGAGTCTATGGATGATGGTTCCGAGCAAGAAGACGATTTAGCGGATTGCTGAAGAAAGTTTTAACGAACAGGGTACCAGTGTTACCAACATGGCGGATGGATTATAGTAAAACTTCGAATTCGACGCATCCTGGCTTGAAAATTTCGCAATAAATTGACAGGCCACGTGTTGTCTAAAAACAGACGACTTCTAATATGATATTATACATGTATATCTGTGTTCTCAAACGACCTATGATCCTCTGATATTAACATACATTTATTTGAGGGGCATCTCATCTTTTCACAGATATCAATATTTATGTGTATCAATATACATGTATCATTAAACGGACATAGATGATAATTTATTCAACTTTTGGTTGTTCTTTATTTAGTGTGCTTCTCGGATCACGTGGCGAAAGTTGACGTGAAAACAAATTATTTGTTACTGTGTTGAAAGAAAGAGCAGTTGAAAACTATTTGTTACGAGACATTTTGAGGACAAATAGTCATTTTAAAAAGTGTTATATTGACATTGATTTTGCAGCTACTAGAAAAACAATGACTAAAATAATGAGTGAAGGCTTCTTGACGCTAGATGGCGTTGTAAATCTTGAAGACGGAGCAATATATGTAAAAACATTTAAATAAACATGGAATTTTTGCTGTATATTCAATTTATATGTATTACATTGCATGTTCGTCCTGTATAGATTTTGTTATATAAATTATAAAAAAGTATTAAATATGAACTGATCTGTATGTTGCTGTCTTCATTTTCTAAATGTCCAAAAATTCAAATGATTCAGAATTATGATAAGTAAACTTGTAAAGAACTTTTTCGTTTTGTTCCTCTAGTTTTTATACAAAACAATCTGTACACAGGTACGTATACGTGCATACAGTTTTAAAGAAACTTTTCACTACATTAACAAACGTTTCGCAAGATTGATACAAGACTTAGTATGCGTTCAAATTTCAATTTTTTTTTTAAATAGAGTCTGTAGAAACTAGTAAGACGGTAAATATATGTATATTTTACTAATATGACTCACTCTCAAATTACCCCTACAATTATCTCCCTTTTTGTATCAACGTTTCCATGTACAGAATTTAATGCTGGGAATTATACATAAATAGCACGTGACTTTAAACCAAAAGTAAAGAAACCCTCTCAGTAAACGTACCCTGCCCTTACGGACCTTTATCCGTTTCTCCTTCGCATTCTGACTTGAACACTTACGAATTTCAATTTTCTATCAATTAGACGAAATTACTTTTACAAGAAGACAATTTGTTTATTTTAAAGCATAAATCAAAATGGAAAAATTCAAACTAAAATATACTTTTTGACAAATCTTCCTGTATGTACAGATAAGTGTGAACCGCCCGGATGCTCAATAGTGAATCGCCCGGATGCTTAAAACACATGAAAGTCACCTTTTCGGCATTAAACATGTAACTTTTTATATAATGCATGCATATATCGTTTAAGGTTACTCTCAAACTGTCTTAAAATGGCAACATTAATAAGGCATTGCTAGTTTTTATATACAATGAAATCTTTGACAAAAAAACCGTTATTCTTCATATACACAAATGTAGCTCCTTAACAATTTTACAAATCATGTTCATTCGATATTTTAATACAAATGTATAATTATTATAAAAAGTGAGCTCAAGAAACAACGACAAGAAAAAACAAAAACAAAAATACTGTATACATAAACTTTTTGGAGTTGTAATGATCATTCACGTGAAAAAAGGCCGTACAACAAGTAAAAATTCATAGAACTGCACGTTTGTAATGTCGATAATCATTGGATAATATCATAACGTTTACAAAATCCATATACACTGCTGCTGTAAATAATAGGAAGTATTTTTAAGTTTTCTTCAAATATGAGCTGTATTACAAATTCGTTGTGTTGTTATATTTTTACCTTTTACTAGTTTGAAAATATCAAATGATAAACTTTGAATCGCATAGACATTTAAACATTACAGTCTCTCTTACATTTGACTAAAAACATTCGGGACTATTTATTATCGATTTGACCCTTAGCATATTACTGCGCAAGAGGTTCTTGACAGGTATTTGTTTCATTTGAAGTTTAAAGAAAGAAACGCATATTAAATTGAAAACATGATAAATAGATTATCAAACAAGTGTCTAATATTACAAATTTATCAGGCTCGGCACGAAAAAAATTGAAAATATTCTTTTTTTTCTAAGCCTGGCTTGATACATTTTGTATTATCATACACTAGCATGGTATTCTCTACTTCGCAGTGTATTTGTTAAAGTCTTTTTATTCTACTAATTTATATATAGCATACAATAAAGCGCATCGTGAAAAAAACTCTAAAAATAAAAGGATCTCTTATTGCAGTACCTTTTGTAAATGTCTTATTGATCCATATAATTTATTTATAAATGTCCACCGCTAAAGACATCCCCATTTCAAATAATCTAACAAAATGGCCTAAACTATAGAACGCAGACATGGAATGTCGTTTTCTTAACTTAATTTCCTTATCCGAAATTAAAGGTTAGCTCCGGAACAAGTACACCTGTTAAATGGTACAACTAAATAGTACTATCTCACAAAACAAGGTAATATTTGTCTTTATAGTGATATCTCATCATATTCATGGCAAAACAATGTAATAATCACTAAATCAAAGCTGCACGGAAATCCCCGGCGCGCGCCTTCAAAACCTCTCAGCGGATATTGTTAAGTTATGGTCAGATTATAATATCAAATACTTGAAATATTTTTACAACAATCAAGTGTTCCCTGTAGAAACCAATGATTCAAGTGTCATATATACAAGTATATTTATGTATGTGTATAAATATAGGTATAAAATATGATTAAACTAATATATACAAGTAATCTATACAATTATATTTTTGGTTAAGCTTCGTGTTTCAATAACAATGTTGAGCTCTTAGGGTGACTTTGGTCAAGAAATCACCACTATATTCAGAAGACTCTTAAAATCCTTTTATTAACTGTTTGGTTATATAGCCTTATGGCTTATTGGTTTGAAATGACAACTGGAACTGTTTGCGTGCGTTTTTATGGAAAAATAGATAGATTTCTTGCAAACTAGCTGCAATAACTCTCCTGATTGTAAAAATAGATAGATTTCTTGCAAACTAGCTGCAATAACTCTCCTGATTGTAAAAATAGATAGATTTCTTGCAAACTAGCTGCAATAACTCTCCTGATTGCGTTGTAATATGTACTAGCTTTCTTGTTAGATGACAATTGCGTACAAAACACAACCGTTTAAGCCTTCTAATTAAAAAAAATAAAAGGGGTAAGCTTATTGCGAAATGATCACATTGCCTGTTGACCTTTTTTGTATTTCAATGACAAAGGGATAAACTTTATTGCAAAATGATCATTGCCTGTAAACCAAAAACATACATGTATCACATGTGATTTTATGGACATCCCACAATTTTTTAATTAAATATGTCCACATTATTTCCATATAATTCAGTTTACAAAGGACCTTGTTATATATTTTTTTAACCAAAAAGGAAAACATATATTTTGTAAAAAAAAATATAATTTTGGTTGTTTGTACTTCTGGCAATCTTTTTTGGTTTCACAAACATATGGAATGATTACTGTGGATCTAAAAATACACCAGGTCTTACGAAAAATAAAATATCTCAATCATACTGAAAAATAGCTTTCTCTTTCAAAATTATAAATTGATATTTTCTATATTTTTGCTTTCATAATATCTGATGAGTGTTTCTATACCCTTCAGTTGTAAATTTATCTTTAAAAAAAGAAATAAAGTATTTCTTGTAGTTGTAGTACTATCTTTTAAACCAAAGATACAGTTACGTTACAAAAATTGATTTAAGTTATAAAATTATCATACTTTTAAAAAACAAAAAAGTATTGCATTGTTTGTTACATGACAATACCAAATCAGATGGTATAAATCCATTTCATTTTTACAAAAAACTACAGAGTCCAATCTATGTATTATCTTTTAGATTCGTTATAAAAAGAAATGACTTTGTTACTATTATTCTATGAATAATTCTGTATAGCATTTTGGTATTTTTTTTCCAAAAAGATCATTGCATGTAAAACACAATTTCTGAAGCTTTCTTATTTTAATGGTAATTGTGCAATATCTTTTGCAAAGTGACCATTGCCTGCAATTCACCAATGCATAAGTTTTCTTAGGGGTAATCTTGCAAAATGACTATTGCAACTGCCTAAGCTTTCTTATTTAAATACTAAAGATGAAAGCTTTCCAGCAAATCACAACTTCTTAAGCTATCTTATTGTCCATGTTTTCATGGCACTAGGGTAGGCTTTTTACAAAATGACAATTACAACTGCATTAGCCTTCTTACTTAGGTGGCAAAGGGGTAAATTTTCTTGCAAGATGGCCATTTGATGCCTGTTTAGAGATGCTGGTTTCATCAAAGCCCTTTTGATAAGGCAATGAGTTCGTTTCGTTACTGTTGATTAATCTTGTTCGCGACTGAGTTCTCTGTGTTTCTCATTGAGCAATTTTTCTTGTTTAAATTATATTATAACAGTCATAATATTATTGTAAAATAAACGATACAAAGTAGAGCACATTTGTTAATAAAGATGGATAGTTTAAGGCCCATTAGGCCACCGAAAAGCTATCATTTTTACTTTTTCAGAACCTTTTTATTTTTGGTATCTTATTACAGTTAAAAAACCTCATCGGCCATAAAGATGAACTATCTCTTGCTTCTTTTGCTCTTTGGGAAATGGTATAATTATAGTGAGTAAGTATTTTGTATGGAAGTCAAAATACTACTTTGTTTACATTTTGCTACCTTTACCGCACATTCAGCTGTTAATCTAAAATGCTCCAGATAAATTATTTAAACATTATTTAACACATGTTTGACAATAAATTTATATAGATTTCCGAGGCAAAATGTGCCTTTAACAATGTATACCGTATATTATACTTACAGTTTAGGTCTCAGGCTCACATTTTCTTGCTTTCTTTATACGACGTTCGTCTCGTTCTATCGTAATAAAATACCAAGTGTAAATTATTCATATAGTTAGAACAGCAGTGACTGCAGCGATTCTTTTTAATTCAGTCAGAGAACTCTACTATTCACGGGACATTGCATTTCTTCGGAAAGAATGGTTAAACAAAATGGCGTCATTTATCACCCTGTCATAGACGACATGTTCCAGAAAATAGTGCGTCTATGAAAAGCGATCCCTAATGAAATCTGAAGGGTCTATTTCAACTGTTCAAACAGCAAAGAAAAAGAGATAGATTATGACCAATTTAAAGTTTTCTTCGCAGAATGGGGACATGTTAATCATCTTGTCAGGCGCAGGAATACACATGAGGTCAAAACTTGATTGACCTTTGGTCAGTGAAAGTGGATGCTATTCCATAAATGTTCGACCCCACATTTACCGAACAAAAATCTTTTTAAATAGCTGCTAAGTTGATTTATTCAATTTCATAAAAGTCATTTTGTTTTTAAAATGTATATTTTATTTCAAAATTCAATTTTAAAACTTTGAAATCATTTATAAAAAAAGAACCCTATTGACAACAGGTCAAATAAAATGTATGATCAATTACAAATATTTATCAAGTGAAAACATTGTACAAGAAAATTGCACACGTTGATTGCTTATAAATAAATACTTTGCTGCGCAAATATCCTTAAAAAATGATACATTTGTTAAGTCTTAAATATTTTAC